ATGTATGACAAGAAATACAATGTGGTAACGATGGTCTATTCAATAAATGGTGTTGGGAAAACTGGACAGATATGTGTAAAAAAAATAAAACTAGACCACCTTCTTACATTATACACAAGAATAAACTCAAAACGGATTAAAGACTTAAAATGTTAGGTTTGAAACCATAAAAATCCTAGAAGAAAACATAGGCAGTAAAATCTCTGACATTTTCTTAGATATATTTTTTCTGATATATCTCTTCAGGCAAGGGAAACAAAAGAAAAAATAAACAAATGGGATTACATCAAACTAAAAAGTTTTTGAACAGCAAAGGACACTATCAACAAAATGAAAAGACAACCCACTGAATGGGAGAACATATTTACCAATGATACATCTGATAAGGGGTTAATATCCAAAATTTGTAAACAACTTATACAATTCAACACCAAAAAACCAAATCATCCAATTAAAAAATGGGCAATGGATCTGAATAGACACTTCTCCAAAGAAGACATACAGATGGCCAACAGACATACGAAAAGATGCTCAATATCACTAATCACCAGATAAATGCAAATTAAAACCACAATGAGATATCACCTCACACTTGTCTGAATGGCTATCATCAATAAATCAATAAACAACAAGTGCTGGTAAGGATTTGGAGAAAAGGGAACCCTTGTGCACTGTTGATGGGAATGCAGATTGGTGCAACATTGTGGGAAAAAAGCATTATGGACTTCCCTCAGAAAATTAAAAATGGAACTGCCTTATGACCCAGTGATTCCACTTCTGGGAATATATCTGAAGAAACCCAAAACACTAATTCAAAAGAATAGATGCACCCCTATGCTCATTGCAGTGTTATTTACCATAGCAAAGATTTGGAAGCAGACCAAGTGCCCATCAGTAGATGAGTAGATTAAAAAGCTGTGGTACATTTACACAGTGGAATATTACTCAGCCATAAAAAGGGAAACCTTACCTTTTGTGAGAGCATGGATGGACCTGGAGAGAATTATGCTAAGTGAAATAAGCCACCCAGAGAAAGAGAAGTACCATATGATTTCACTTACATGTGGAATCTAATGAACAAAATAAATTAACAAAGTAAAATAGACTCATAGTACTGAGAATAGACTGACAGCTGTCAGAGGGGAGGGGGGCTGGGTGGAAAAGGTGAAGGGATTAAGAAAAAAACAAACCAGCAACTCACAGACAGAGATAACAGTATGGTGATTATCAGAGGAAAAGGGGATGGGGGAGTAGAAGAGGGTGTAGGGGGTATTAACAGTGATGGAAGGAGACTTGATTTGGGGTAGTGAACATACCATACAATATACAGATGATGTACTACAGAATTGTACACCTGAAACCTACATAACTTTATTAACCAACGTCGCCCCAATAAAATCAATAGAAAGGAAAACAACAATGAAGTTTATCCCCAAAACAAAAGGAAGGAGGAATGAGCATCTGAGAGCCTGACACTCAGCAGGTGCCCAGTAAACCTCTTCGGAATTAAGACAAACCTTTGCAGGCCCAAGGCACCCACTTAACACCCCTGCCCTGACACCACCTCCCCCCAGCAAGCCTGCAGAGGGTTTCTGGGCTGACAAGTGATCTGAGCCCTGACGTCAGGCCTCCAAATGGAAGGAGCTGTTTAGGAGATAACTGGGTTTATCTTGGCCTTGAGATGGCTGTGTTGAAGGAGAGGGAGGAAGGAACTAACTCATTTGTTGCTGTGGCCTGGAATGTGAAACATCTGCTGACATCCAACAGGATGGCATTCCCAGGTGCTCTTTACTCCCCCTTCCTAACATTGGAAGGTAATGACAAGTTATAACCTGGACAGTGTGCTCCAATGGGGGGCCCACTGTTCTGACAGAAGAGAAAGGGCAAAGGAATCCTCCCTCAAGAGGAGAATCGGGCGTGGGGCTCATCAAGCCCCAACAGGGCAAAGCAGAGAAACCCAAGCTGCAGAAACCTCCTGCTGGAGGCGTGCAAGCCCAATGAGGGAATCTGAACAGGGAAGGTGTGACTGTCAGTGGGAATGTCTGTCCCAGGCCTGGGCCTGTCTGGGATGAACACTTTGGCAACTAAAAGATGACCTCTTTGAAGCTATTGATTTAATTTTAATAATAATGGATAACCAAAGCACTTAGCTATAAACTGCCCATTATCACCAGATAAGAATATTTGTGTGTGTGTGTGTGTGTGTGGTTAACCCTCACCCGAGGATATTTTTTCCATAGATTTTTAGAGAGAGTGGAAGGGAAGGAGGGAGGGGGAGAGAGAGAGAGAGAGAAACATTGACGTGAGAGAGACACATCAATTGGTTGCCTCCCACAAGAGCCCTGACCATGGCCAGGGATCGAAACTGCAACCCAGGTACGTGCCCTTGACTGGGAATCAAGCCCGCAACCCTTCAGTGTGCGGGCCAACGCTTTAACCACTGAGCAACACCGGGCAGGGCCAGATAAGGCTATTTTTAGGAGGGAATGTATGAAAACAGTGCAAAGTTGTCTGATTTGACCTGAAGGCATATCTTTGGGGACCACAAGACAGGGTGTGCATCTTTCCCCAAGTGACAGCCCAACTCCCTAAAGTCTTTACAGGGTCCCTTTATAAGGACAGCCGGTGTCTTTGTGCAGGACCTCCGGCTTCAGACACTTTCATCCTGCCCAGGAGCCATCTGAGGCGCACAGTGACCTGGTGAAGTGCCTGCGGAGGAGGTACTGGGTTCACAGGGAGGGAAGGGGTGAGAGGCTTTTTCAGGGTCACACGGGGTCCTGGGCTGGGTGGAGAGACCAGGCGTGGAAGCAGCTTCCTAAGCTGCTGGGAACTGTATTAGACACATCTGGCATAAGCAGCAGCTGCACGAGATTTCGCCTCTAAACATCAGCGGCTCTGGGACTCTCCCTCCTTCCTCATCTCCCAGGCTGCCAGCCACCCAGGAGGAGGGAAAGCCTCAATCCCATTAAGAAATTGTCTTTGTTGTTCAAATGATTTAAGTCACTTTAATGCCATGAAATCTCTCACATAGGAACAGCGTAGCCCAGGACTGAGGTGGCTTCTCTCTGAGCAAAATCCCAGTGCTTTTACATAAATGGTATTGGAACAGGGGGCTGCTATCTGGAAAAACACGAACACATCGAAATCCCTCCCCCGTCAGGAGAAATTCCAGGTGGATCGACAGTTAAACATAAGACATTAGAAAACCTTTTTATAATTTCAGAAAATGGACAGTTTAAAAAACCCAGGAACTAAAACAACCTAATGAATTTGAATACATTATTATAAAATAAGAAACTGGTTTAGCAAATGGTCAAGAACAAAAAAATGCTAACTAAAAACAAAAACCCAAAATGACTCAAAGCTGAACTGCTCTCATGTCTGCCTCAGGCCCCAGTGAGGTCATGGATGACCCTGGGGAGGCTGAGGTAATAGCCTGATCCTGAGGGGAGGAGCTGGTTGCAGGTCTCCCTCTGAGCATGGCCATGGGTTTGGCTCCTCTGAGTTAACAGGTGCCTCTGCCCAGGGGTGAGAGGGGAGCCTGGGTCTCACAGCAGCACTACTCTCCTTTCCCACATTAAACTGATCATTTTCTCTGCTCATCTGGGCTGGGGCTGGGGTCTGTGATGGGAACAAGTGAGGTGAAGTGTGGGGCCACCATGTGGACAGGAGGGTGACTGGACACAGCAGCCCCGCTAAGCCCTGGCCAGCCAGGGACTATAAGCAGCTCTGGGTCTGGCCAGCTTTCTGGGCTGTCCCTGAGATGGCAGGTCTGACACCAAGGGCAGGACAGGTCCTGCTGTGTGGAGACTGGCTGTGCCCTTAGAAGCTCAGCTTTTCTCACCTGTGGAACAGGTGCAGTAAAAATACCAACACCATGGGCTGAGCTTTGAAACACTCAGACCAAGGAAGGCCCTGAATCAGTTCTATGCGTAGGTTAAAATTCATGGATGGGTTAATGACATGCAAAAAAGGAATGTCATTTTTACTGTATGATAACTTAAAATAACAATAAAAAAAGACGTATTATGACTTGAGCAAAAAAAATTGCTACCTTTAGTACAAATGCAAATTGGTAAAATCTACTCAAGAGCTCCTACAAATTGAGAAAAATAGGTAACAAATGTGAACAAATTGTTCACAGAAGAAATAGAAGATCCTTAAACATGAAGGTTGGCTTCACTCGTTAGTAAGAAAAACATAAACTAAAATGCCTGAATAAAATAAAACATAACAAAATGTCAGTTTTCACCATTTATATTGGAAGAAATAAAAAAGTTAGATTGTCAAAGGTGTGAGGGATGCGCATGCCTGCTCATCCACTGCTGGGGGGATAATTTGGGCCAAACCTGTATCAAAACGAAAGATGAATGTAGGTTTGACTCTGCAATTCCATCCCTAGGAATTTATTCTGCAGATATACTTAGATATGTGAGAGGTGACAAATGTACAAGGGTATATCACTCTGGTTTAGTTTATAATAATAAAAAACTGAAAATAGCTTAGAGGGTCACCAATACACATTGGTTAAATTATGCTCCTTACCCACTGCCAGTGTTGACAGGAACGTGGTGTACAGCTCTGTATGTACTGATGTGGAAGGTGTCCATGGTATCTGGTGGCAGAAGTGGGGTCAAATCATGTGTAGGGTGAGCTACCCTTGAGACTGCTCATGTTATATATTCTTACAGCTGGTAACTGTGGTGGCGTCTGGGAAAGAGAACTTACTGGCTGACTAGGAGGCAGGGCCAGGGATGTGCTTTCTCTTTACACCCTTGTGAAAGGTTTCAATTTCATACCGTGTGCATTTCGTGCTAATTCAAAACCAAAACATACTTGCTTCAACAAGACAGTTCATTGAAAAGGGAGCAGGCCTCAGGCAGGTGTTACAGCCCTTTAAGATAATGGAAATAGTCAAGACCCCCCCCAAAACCACAACAAAGCTTAAAGTTACCCAAACTCACAAAGCTTTGAGGAAGACAGGAAGGAGATGGACTTACTTTGAACGCATTTGACAAAATCTGGGTGTTTTGTGTATGGAGATCCATATTTATTAATGCAGTCTGCAAGAGAGAAACGGGTGGGGTGTCATTCCTCAGTCACAGGAGATGAAACCGACTTTAGAAATACTGCTACAGTCTCTTAGACACCTGAGGAAAAGCAGATTGTTCACAATGTCCTGGGTGCTTCAGTCCTCCAGCAATAACACAGTTTAGCTTTTGTTAATGCACTTTAGCAAAACATTTTAACACCGGCGAAAAGGAAAGTGCCTCCACCAAATGGGCAGACTGTACGCAGAGAGCGTTACCACCCCCCATCCACAGCTTCCCCACGGGGTTCCCTCTACCCTTGTATAGTAGAACCACTAAGAACATTCAGTAAGTTTTCTGATTGTAGTCATAGAGTTAAACTTCCATTTCAAGTTGACCCCCCGTTTGGAAACACTGCCCTTCATTTGAAAGTCAACCTGCTTTGGAAAGTGAAGCTGTCTGACGTGCTAGATGCAGACTGACAGTGCAGGGTCCACATGAGCATGGATGGGGCCGGAAGGCTTGGTATCTTGAGCACATGCATCCCGGGATGGTAGGAAAACTTGAAGTTGTGCAGAAACGGTCTTCCATAGGTCTCTGCTACTTCTCCGTGCCTAAGGGGACACTGGCACGGGTAACAGATGGTCCCTAAAGGGTGGGCTCATGGGATAACTGGTAACCCTTTGCCTCCGGAAACAATCCCCATATACCCAGCAATGATGCCTGCAGAGACCAACAGAGAGCCCAGAACCAGGTGGGTTCCCAGGCTTTTCAGGGCCAGTCACAAGTCTATTTTGCTTGTTGCCAGATACAGACCCAGAGAAGGTACCTCTAAGAGGATACAAGGCCAATGGAACATTTACCTACCTGCACTTTACAAAATTAACAAGGAAGACCCCGGAGGGCATTTCTCTCGTTATAAGTGATATGCATCCCAAACCATCTTAAAACGGTATTAATTAGAGGAGTGGTTCTCAGGGGAATCCAGGGCCTCTTTCAGGCTGTCAGGAGGTCAATGCCATTGCCCTGATAGGACTCAGCTGCTGTTTGCCCTTTTACTCTCACTTTCTCCCTAGTGTGCGGGAGAGCTTTCCAGAGGGCACCCTACACACGATGACATCACTGCTCAATAGCCAAGACTGTTTGCTTGTACATTCCTGTCATTCAAATGAAATAAAAACACTTTTAATGTTCTCCGTTTTAATTAATAGCTTGGCAATTATCAATCAACACAGCCTGCACGAATAAAAGCTTTTTGGCATCCTCAATAATGTCAGAAATGCAGAGTCCTAAGATCAAAGGTCTGAGAATTACTATATCAATCATGTTCCCAAATAATAAGCCTGGCCTCAGAGCAGAAATGAGGTTTGCAAATAATGGCATTGGATTGAGGTTAACATAGATCATTATGGTACAAAAGACACATGTGTTTTGACCTGCGTGCGTGCTCTGGATAGTTTGAAACTCACTATGTAATTAAGCAATCGTCTCTCCAGGAATAACTTGGTAATGAGGTTTTGACCAATGGTTTCTCTGACATGTAACACATATCCCCAAGCTATGCCTTTATCACAACTAAAGGGAGCAGTGATTTAAACTTACCTAAGTATCTCGGATAAAAATATTCCTGCGGAAAAAAAAAAAAAGGGCAACAGTTTACTGGCACAATACGAGGCTTCCTACACAACACAGTCAGCAGTTGGCTCACCCAACCTCGCCCTTCTTCCCCAGTAGATAGAAATAGACTCTTGGGGAGCAGGTGTTTGAGGACAGTGGAGAATTTCTCCACAGCTGGCTCAGTGACTCGGCCCGCAGAGCAAGAGCCGCCCAGAAAGCCACTTCCTGCCTGGAAGATGGGGACACGAGGGAAGTGAGTGAGAGGGGACATCTCAGGCGGCTTCTGCAGAATGTTTGCAGAACTGTCAACGTCATTAGACTTTCTGTAACCAGCAACAGTAATGCCATCTGTAGTGACTTAGAAGGTGCCACTCAAAGTGTCTTACAGAAATATTGCAAGTAAAGACCAAGTCTTAGACACTCGTTGATGTAGGGTCCTCACAGAAGCGTGGAGACATTCCTGTGACTATCAGCACACGGGCACTGATTGGCCTTTACTGTATTTGTAAAACAAAGTGGTGCTGGGTGAGTTACAGAGGGTGTAAGTGAGAAGTCTTTTTATCTATGAATACAAATGAAGAGTTTTACCCTGCACAGGGGACTGGCAAATATGAGAACCCCTGCCCTATCTCGGCGAGCAGCAGGGAGCTGCTGGGAAGCCCCTCAGTATTCCTTTTTCCCCAGACACAGACCCAAGGCTATGGGCTGGTTAAGGTGGCCCCACCACGTCCACTCTTATCTCCCACTTTGGGCCAATCATGGAGCAGTTTGGCCCTAATTAGCCCCTCTAATGGAACCAAGTGACTGACTAAGCAATGACAGCTACTAGATGTTGAGTGTTACCTGCATGCTGGTGACATTCCATATTTTTACATTATTTTGTTTGATACTCACAACCACCTCCAAGGAAGATCTTTTAAATTAACCCATTATCACAGATGAAAAACTGAGACTCAGCATGGGTGGTGGAGTTTGAGGTCATGAAGCTGGAAATGGCTCCCAATGGCAGACTGCATCCCAAAAGAGTGTGGATAGGAGCTGGTGTCTCATCTGTCACTTTCATTCAAATGCTTGGCCAGAGCTCCCTTCTCTGCTGTTTGTGAAAGAGGCTGGGTGGGTGGTGCCACTTGAGGGCAATTGAGAGTTCTTAGACTGGGATTACACTGGGGACACTTCACTAAGATGCAATCAGATTACTTTCTAGAAAGTTCTAGTAAAGATGTGATTGAAAAAACACACCAGACTCTTAAGCCCTTTAAAGGAAAAGTCATGGTCAGAGCAAGTTTGATATTTCAGCTGTGGGACAGTTGCAAAGATAACGTTTAGTGAATGTGACAAAGAAGCTGGCTTTGGAGGTCAGAGCTATGAAGTCAGGGAGGGGATTGTCCGTCTTTGCTAGCATTCAGAGGCCCATGGCATGCCTGGTTTCATTTCTTTCACTTGCTTTTGGTCATGGATTGGCCAACTTCTGAGCACAAGAAAAGCAAGCCAGGCCAGGGCGCTCTGATGAAACCTCCTGGACCACAGGGTGCAAGACAGCTTGCTGCCTCCTTCATGGAGTACAAGCAGGTAGTGACACCTTTCTAGGTTTAGAGGGAGAACAAAGGCCAAAGAGCTTTGTCACAAAAGGAAAGGTGTTGGCTCCGAAGGGAAAGGTTTAGAATGAATGCAAAAAGTGTGTACTAAGGATTAGCAAACTAATCATTAGATTAAGAAAATTAAAAACAATGAAAAACTGTGAGTAAAGTACTTAATTATACGTAAACATTTACTTTACCACAACTTTTAAGAGGTGTATTTTATTGTCCAAAATCATGCTTAGTTTATAGTTATGTATAGTATGTTTTAAGAATTAGTTGTACTGTTGTGAAAAGCATTATTAATAGAAAAACCATGCTCATTTCTCCCCAGCTAACCACACCTAACGGGAATGTGGGTACTGAAACCACAGGGTCATAAAACCTGGTGACAATTTATCCTTTTTGGGTGCTTGATTTATTTGGGGTAGGGGAGGGGCATAAAGCATGTGCTAGTTTGCCTGGCAATCTAGGAGAGAGATGGTTAACACTGAATAAAAGCAAAGCTAAGGCAAATACACTTAAAAATGTTACACACTCTCCCAGGAGGAGACATTTCCATTTGTCCTTCCAAGTTCTGACAGAAGAGAACGGCCTATGAAAATCGTCCTCCCATTTGGAAATAAAGGCACCAAACACAGAACATAAAGCTGGCCCCACCTGCATCACAAGTTGGTCAGGGCGTAAACCCTGGTCTAAAGCCCAGGAGCCTGATTGACTCTTACGAGCAGCCCGCCACAGGATCCACAGAACAGAGGCCACAGCAACCCCATCACTGACCCCAGGGGTTGGCTGCAGCTTTACAGGGTCTGTGCAGCAGGCAGTCCATAGCTCCAGGCACCCCTCCTCCTCCACAGCCATCCCCTTGCACCCAATACACATGGTGGGACAGGGATAGGGGCCTGAACCAGCAGGGAGCTCAGGAGAGGCTACAGCCTACTGGAAAGCCAAGTTCTCCACGTCTTTTCCATAACCAGCTTTAGGACAAAACTGAAACACTTGTAACCAATGCGAGTTAATACATGTTCTTCTGAATGCTCAGGGCCCTGATATGAGCAGCAGAGGCTCTGGGGCCATGGTGGTGAAGACTTTGGTCCCCTCACTAAACTCCAATGACCTTGTTTGCTGCAAGACCTGTCTACAGCACCATCCCTCTGCACTGTGCATATGGACACCCAGCAACTGCAAGGAGCCCTGAGTGGAGTCCTTGGGCTCCTCTCCAGCTATGCCTGGCCTACAAAGATGAAGGTAGCAGCCCTCCCCTCACTGCCAGCTGCAGGTTGGCAAGTGACTGCACAGGTCCAGCATGGGGCACCAGCCCTCCCTTCCACTTCCCTCCACCAACTATAGCATTAAAAGGTACAGCACAGATTGTGTGAGTATAGCTGAAAAGACCTGCGTGAGAGGTGGGTTGTGCAAAAACTCGCTAATTACAGTGTCTATCATAAGGCATGAAAATATTCACAGGAATTAACTTCATAAAAAAGGTTTGTTCCCAAATACCTCTTCCCCGTGGCAGAGATCACCAGTTCTCCCTTCACCTTAGTAATAGAACTTTAGGCTTATTTTAGAGCTGCAATGCACCCAGTTAGCTACACGACATTTTCAGCTTCCCTTGCAACTAGGGGTGGCCATGTGACTAAATTCTAGCCAATAAGAAACAGTACAATGTGAAACTGAGTAAAGAGAGTTGGGGGAGGGGAGCTTTGCTACTCCACCTTCCTGGCTAAAATGCAGATGTGATGGCTGGTGCTCCAGCACCTTGACAGGTGTGTAAGGAGGCCTTGAAGACAAAGGGCACGCACTAATTAGTACAGCAGAGCACAAACAGGTAATGTGAGTCCCTGGGCACTACTGTGCAGCACTAGTCAGCCTGCCCTAGCCTTTCACATGAAAAAGAAATAAACTTCTATCTCCTTGTTTGCATTTTTCAAATTTATGCAGCCAAAAATATCAGGCTAACTGAATTTGACAAATTAGTGCAAACAGAACTGTAACCACCTACAAAGTAAAATTATAAATCTACCAAGTGTCAAGATTTCATGAGTCCATGAGAATGTTTGGGAACCATCCACTGCCCAGACATTGACATATAAGGGTTTAGGCCAACTAACAATAAAAGAAGGGCAAGTCTGCAAGTGTCATAGAATGGCTGCTTCAAAGAGAATAACCTTATTATTTAAGGACGAAGAATGTGGGCAAAGCCATCAGGCTTTTTTTGGGTTTTTTTTGCAAAAATATCTCCATTTATGGTCAGAAAAATATTGACATTCTAAAAATCATTATTGTTTTCAGAAAAATTGTGCCCAGCCCCCTCCCCAAATTCTTACTTCAATCTTTCTTTGTTCTCAAAATTTAGTGCCTAATTGCATTTTCACTCCAAATTTTATAAAGTATGAAATGGACTACATTTGTTTTTATAATTTGCAGTTTCATTGCTCAAGGTTAATTTTTATACATACTGTGTATGTAATATGCTGTGTTTTAAGTGGGGTCATTTTCAAAGACCTCTCTTCCTGAACTCACGTGCTCTCCTGGCAAAGGCCTCTCTCACTTTTCACAGCACTGGCTGATCAACAACAGCTTTGCTCAGCAAACTCCTTGGTTCTCAAGGCCAAAAGCTGCCATGTCACTCACTGCGTGAGGAAGATGTGCTGACAGGAAGGAGCAGGAAGCAGCTAAGCCCTCTCGAGATTTCAACTTGGTGGTGGACCCTGCCCGCCAGGCCCACCATGCTCTGATTAGGGAAATGAGATTTACATGGGTGAACCAACAGAACTTTATTCGAACTATGTCTATACTGTCCTTACATGTGGAAGAAGACAGAGAGAGAGCCAGAAATGGCAGCTTGAAAAGAATCCCTGAGCTTGCTGGCTGTGAAGGTGCGGGAGGGGCTGCCAGCCAAGGAATGTGGCTCCTCTATAAGCTGGAAAGGCGGGAATGGGTTCCTCCCTGGCACCTCCGGAAGGAAGCAGCCCAGCCAGGGGGCGGGGGGGCACGGGGAAGGGCTTGGTTTTAGCCCCGGGAGACTCACTTCAGACTTTGGACCTCCAGAGCAATGAGGAAGCAGCTGTACTCCCTTTGCTTATGTCATCCTCACCGTCACCTAAGGCAGATGCTCCTGTCTCCAGCGACAGGTGGCCGCTGGAACTTGGAGAGCTCCAACAGTTGCCCTGGCTGCACCGCCGCCAGGCTGAGATTCGAACGCTGTCCATCTGCTGGAATCAAAGACCACACCCCCGATGGCCCAAGCAGGGTGCCTGCCGGCAGAATACATTCAGCCATTATCTTGGCTGGAGCAAAGAAACAGAGAGGGAAGTCCAGTCTGTTCTGAGCAGGGAATAGGCCTGTGCGACCTCAGGCGCTGGAGAGGGCGCGATGCCTCGACAGTCCTGGCTGAGAGGTTTGGGCTTGATCCCAAAGCTCTCAGGGG